GAAATGGTCAATCTATAAACTGGCTGGACCTAAATTGGCCCACAACTTAAATGGACCTACGGAGTTTGGTATCACGGGGACTTGCAAATGTTCACTTTTTTTTTTCATCATTATTTTTGGCTTTGACTAATTCCTTTCATACATAAATGTTAAATTTAAGACTTTATTTATAGAATTTAAGTCAAATTTCATTTGAAACAATAGCATGTTAATAAATGTTTGTTTTCTAACCAATTTTATTTATTTTATCTTAAAATTCAAAAAATCACTTGAACTATATTCATGTGATACACACTAAGATATAATATAAGAAGAATAACACGACAAATATTTAAATTATTGAATAAATTTTTACTTTGTACATTATTTTGTTAAAAATTACTGCGTTACCATTTTAATATTAGTTATCTTCATGAATTTATATAAATCATCTTAATGGAGTAATGATAGTGATGTTATGGTGGTGAAAATAATAATAATAATGACAGTATCAATGGTGATCAATGTAGTGGTACTAGAATACATGGTAACGATAAACAACGATGACAATAATGGTTAATAGTGACAACTATGATAATTCGAGTGGTGGTGGTTAGCAACAATAGTGATATGAATAAAGTAATACTTAACAATGATGATGTGATGATAAGAGGTGACAATAGTGATGGTCAAAAATAGTGGTAGTAGAGGGCAACGACAACAACAATAAGAAGTGTAGTTGTAATGGTGATCCAAGAATTTGAGACAAAATTTTGTCTTATGATTTTTTTGAGTAAAAAAAAATAAAGTTTTGTCTTGTCCCATAATATTTTTAAAAATTAAATGGTAGACAAGTATGTTTATCTTGTCCAGTGCCATAATTTTTTACAAATCAAATGGACCATAGGATCATCTAGTGATTGAATAGATTTTCCTTAAAGTAAATTGAATATATTTGAATTTAATTGAATAATATATGGATGAATAAAATTACAAGTATTTTTATATTAAATTATAATTTTGATCCCTCTATTTTTGTGAATTTGCAATTTTGTCATTTCATTTTAAAATAGAAACATTTAATTTTCTTATTTTTAAAAATATAAAAATTGGCTATATTATCAATTTGATGTTCATTGATCGTTAAATTTTAATATTTTTTGTTGATCTGTCATTATTTAAACAACGCGGTATTTAGAGATATAACATATACGAATAAAAATTAAAATATAAGATACAAAACATTCTTATTTGTATCTATTTTAATGAGTGATTAATCTTTATTTTATTAATATATCTTATTTGCATTTTTTTAAGTTTTTTTATTTCTAAATATTATGTTATTAAATATCACATCACTTAAGAATGTGTAAACATTAAAAATTAACTATTAATAGATATCAATTTGATGAAGGACAAAAAAAAATCGTATTTTTAAAATTAAAATGATTAAATGTCTCTATTTTAAAATAAAAGAATCAAAATTACAAACAAAAGAAATAAAGTGATCAAAAGTGTAATTTAGCCTACATTTTTTTTTTTTAAAATAATCACATTTTAACTTTAAAAAAAATATTACTTTTTTGAATTTAATACCTATACACTGATAATGTAAAATACTTTTACATTATCAATCAATTACAACTTACTATAATATATAGACATAACTTTTTAGTTATTTATCACAAAAGTCAACAAAGTTAACATATATTTCATTTTGTGATTGGATGACAATGCAACACTATTTAACATGCACTTAATTTTACATTTTTTATGTATAACCTATTTTTTCTAACTTTTTTAAAAAACACAATTTATTTAGTTTAATTTTGATCATTCAAAATAAAATTTATTGATTGATATTTATTCTTCTTAGTAGAAAAAGGTTATTTTTTGTTTGTTTGTTATGTATGTATGTATAGAGATGTTTTTTAAGAAAAAGGTAAATTTATGTTTGTTTACAATAATATTTTTTAAAAAATGTACTTGATTTTATGAAAAACTATTCAAACTAATTTCCAATTTTAATCAAATTTATATTTTTTTCCAGCTTTTGATTATTTTAAAAAGCTAAAATAAAGGTATGACAAACTTTTAAAAGCAATTATTTTAAAGTTATTCTTTTTCACAAAAAAATGTAACGAACAAGCATGTATATGATTAGATTGAGATTGCCTAGTAGAGTGCAATTCCACTATTTTAAACCGTTGGATTAGTGGAATGCATTAGATTTAACATGGGTAGATTGAAATTTTATATGTAACTTTATTTTTCCTATGCCCACAAACGATTCATGACGATGGATCCGTTGAAACCTCAAACTCTTGGTCTGTCACGCATTGCCTCAACCACAACATAAATATTGGGAATACGAACGTTGGGAGCATGATGATATGTTGTGAATTATTATGCTTAATTAATGTCATGAGGAACCTTGCCTATCGCTATGAACTATGATGTTGGTTCTTCACATGTTAAAAATAGTTATTTTAATTGATCCTTATTTTTTCTTTATTTGTCATCGCATAAATTTATGCCATAATTTTCGTATACTTGAATAACAACTAGGGATGGTAATGAGGCCCGTGGGGCAGATAATAGTTAATATGTTCCCGTCTCGCAGGATGAAAATTAGTTCCATACTCACTCCATATCCGTACAGGTATCCATTAAGCGGGTATCCATGAATTTCTTAAATACTTACGGATATTTATGGATATCCATGGATATTTATAAATTTTTTAAGAAATTAAAAAATTATATTAGAAATAATTTTAAGTTTATATTTAATGTCATTGAAATATTAAAAATAAAATTCAATGTTAATTTTGAACTTGTATTTAACGTTAATTTTGTTGAAATAATAATAAAAATGCAAGACAATCAATAACTTAAAATACATCAATCTCACACGTAAAAGTCTCACATCAGACAGCTACAATAATTCAATCTCATAATTCCAAACGAAAGTAAACAACTTAATATACATAAATCTTATTGTGATGACTAATGTGTGGGCTGTGCGGCTATAGAAAGAAAATAAGATGAGAGTATGTAGTTTTAAGGTTATGTAGTACAAGGATAATTAAGATATTTAAAAAATATTATTAAACGGGTACTCGCGGGTATGAATATCATCATACCTACCCCCACCCCGTTTATAAACGGGTAAAAAATTATCCGTCCCCATTATTCGCGGGTACTCAATTAACCTATCCATTTATTAACCGTAGCAGATTTTATCTATAAATACCCGCAGGTACGAGTATTTTTGTCATCCCTAATAACAACATACAACAATCTTAAATATGATTCTTCCACCGACCCTAAGCTTCAATATCCTTCCACTAACATGTATCACTCAGGTACCCCGTATTGGCATCATCGCACATGTTGAGCACCGCCATATTAATTATGATACGTTACTTCTAGATTCAAATTATCTATAATTTAATTTTATAAATATATATTAATTTAAAAAATTAATATAATTATTTATACTTATTATAAAAGAGATATATTAAAATGTACAAAATAAAAGTGCTTATATTTTTTTTGAATAATTATCTATAACTTTTAATATTTATTTATGTGTAATTATTATAAGTACGATAAAATTAAAATAATTCGGTCCAATCTAGGTTAACAAGTTAGTGGGTCAACTCGAATCAGCATGAAGGCTGCCTCAGCGTAACCCGTTTCTCATGTCTTAGGTTGGCGAGTCGGGCTAAGTAGCCCATTTGTACAGATCTTGCCTATTGGCCTTGTATCATTGGGTGGGTTTCTATTTGACCATTTTCTTTTGGTTCTCTCTCTACTTCATTAAGTCATTTTTACCATTTTTGTTTTCTTTCTCCCTTTACTTCATTAAGTCTATTTGTTAACTAACTAAATCAATTTTATTTTATTAATTATTCTAATTTATTATTATAAAGAAAATTCAAATTTAATGGGATGTTATATCCTTCCCCCTTTACAAAGGTAAAAAATTAGTTGCACCAAAAACAAGGCAATTCTCCTACTTTTAGTGTTATTGTAATTCATATAGATTAATAGAAAATTTCATGCAGTATTTACATAACTTTTGTTTTGCATTAAAAAAATGTGAGTTATTAAATTTATTATCATCGTGCTTCTGTGAATTATTTTTAAATATAATAAATAATAAAAAATTATATAATAATAAATGATTATTAAAATACAAGATAGTTACTTATGAAGTGAAAAAAAAATTTAGAAAGTAAAATTTATGTGAGTAGATTAGAAGGACTTATAAAAAAGTAAAATATTTTAAAAAATGTATATATGAAAATTTTTATCATCTTTATTATTACTAGTGAAGTTAAAACATTTCATGTCTCTATTGAAGATAAAATAAAAATAAAAATTAAGTAATAAAAATATATTGATCTGTGTTATAATTAGTCCATCAATTTCAAGTTCTTGAATTTGATTAAAATATATATATATTTTTTTTAATTTTTTAAAATAAAAGAGTATAATAATCAACAAAATATGAAAATCAAAGCGATTATTAAAAAAATATTTCTTTTATAAATTAATATAGATTATTATTATTATTATTATTATTATTATTATTATCAAAAAGTGTCTCTATGTATTTTTAGAAGAAAAAAAAGTGATTCATTATAAAAAAAAAAGTGTAAAGAATTTTTGAGTAGTTACAGTTATAAATACAAATTTTGAAAAAATAGTAAAGAAATAAAGAGTAATTCAAGAGGGTTTTTGAGACAAAATTGTAAAAAAGAAAAAAGAAAAATGGTGATACCAAATAAGGTATGCTAATAATAGTTGTATAGTATAGATATACATTATAATTTTTTTATACAAATAACTTTTTTCATTTTATTATTTATATTTATATAAACAACTAAAAGAATATATATTTTTAATTTGTTCTCATCGATGCCCTATTTTTTTAGAGTCATTGAGATTTGAGAAGGAGAGGTAACGGCTAGTAGACTAGAATTATATAATAATAACAATAACTACATTTTCAAAATTTGAATCAGAAACCCCCACACCACACCACAACGCTCCCCCACGCCCCACCCAACAACGAACCGAACCTTGTCTGAAATTCCCATGGCGGAGGGTGAGATCCAGAAGGTGGACCCAGAGACGGAGTTTCTGGCGTCCAAGAGAACCAGCGGGAACGAGTGGGAAATCTTCAAGGAGAACGTCAGGCCTCTCAAGCGAGGCCGCAACGTCAACCTCCTCAACCACGCCCTCAGCTCTCACACCCACCACACCCTCAGAAAAACCCTCCTCCAACAACGAAGGTACCTTCCTTCTCTCAAATCCTCTTTCGCTTTCTCTTCTCATCTCATCTCACTTCTCTCTTCGTGTCTCAGGAAACTCATCGAAGCCATAGACGAGTACCAAGGTCACGACCCTCTTCTCCCCTGGCTACAGTGAGTACCCCCTCTTCGCATCCCTAAATTCTTCGCTATGCCATCGCAAACATTTTTTAAAATTCCCTAATTAATGCTTTGATTGCTCATATTTCCTTTTTTTTTTCTCATTAAGATTTTTAATTTTCTGGGCAAAAGTTTGACCAGTCATTATTTCCAAAATTAAAAAATAAAAATTAAAATTTAAGTGTTAAACAAAAGTTTGAATTTAATTATTTTTATTTATTTAATGGGGCTTCTGAGATTAAAAACCGAATTTTTAACTTCAAAACCTTGTGCTCCGTTCAGCTCTTAGCTTATTTTGAAAAATAATAATAATGGTTTGTCATATGTGTAAGAGTTTTTTTTTTTTTTCCATAAATAATGGTCGCAGCATGTCATAAGTAATTTTTTTAGTATACGGTCTTAATGATTTCACGAGTAAATTTAACTTAAGGATGGATTTAAAACCTTAGACATTGATTTTATCATCCTGTAACTAATATGAGTATATGGCTTAACAGAGTAATTTGTTCACGAGTGTGGGAACAGTTTTTAAAGGTACAGTTAATTAAAGTTTAAGATGTATTCAAATAACAATAATAAAAAAAAAGGCGACAAAGATGCATTTAATGTTCTGATGCGTTATAAGTGTACTCACTAACCATCTATATGTTTGAATGGGGAGAGAAAAGTTGGAAATTTGAATTGAAGAAAGAAAATGATTGACGAAACGTATGAAACTTTGTTTTACAATGTAATCTTTCTCACCCATTTTTCTTTTCACTTTCTTTAAATTTTGAATCCAGTGCAAGATTTATTTTTCGTATGATATATTTCTCATATAATATGTGATTCCCCGGCCATTGTGCAACTAAGAACTATCCCTTTTACTATTTAATTAATTTTCTTGATGTGTTGAAGGTGTATCAAGTGGGTTCAGGAGGCGTTTCCTCCTGGTGGAGACAGTTCGGGGCTGGTGGTGATTTACGAGCAGTGTGTGCGTGCTTTTTGGCACTCGGACCGCTATAAGGATGATTTGCGCTACCTCAAAGTGTGGCTTGAATATGTGGGTGTTCTTATCACACTCTTGTTAGCTAATGCTTCTAACTTTAATTATTTTTTGACAATGACAATTGAAGATGATTCTCTGTTGCAGGCAGATAATTGCTTTGATGCAGACGTTATATATGCTTTTCTGGATGCAAATGGAATTGGAAAAACTCATTCCAATTTCTACATTTCATATGCTTTGCACTTGGAGTCTAAGAACAAGTTTAAAGCTGCCAACCAGACATTTGAGCTTGGCATATCTAGGTAGTGAATGAAATCTTATTTATTTATTTATTTATTTATGTTAATTAGATACATGTTAGTTTTATATAACTCCATATTCTCCTATTGACTATCTAAGTGCACGTCCACGTGATTTCATTTCATACAAATTTGCAAATGTTGGTGCATTTTCCCTCACTTCTGTTGACTTGGGTCGTGGAGTTTGTGGTTCACAAGTGTGTGTGTGTTAGTATTCTATTATGTTATCTTATACATAGATGTTGCATTCTCCTACGACTGTGTCCTTCATTTTTTTGCAGGAATGCGGAACCGATTGAAAAACTGAAGGCTTCTTATAGACTATTTCTCGCACGCTCAATGGCAAGGCCAAAAGCTATAGATGTATGTGGTGTTCCAGTTGAGGCCCTCTTCAAAATTGTTATAACTATAATATGTTCTATTATTGATCTATCTACTATTCTTCCACTGTCTAGGATTCAGTGGAAAAACTGGCACCCACGCGTAGTTTTGGAACTGTTCTCGCCAAGGGAGACAATCGTGATCGTGAGTCCTTTAATTTGTGCATTATCATTTATCTCAAATGTATGAATTTGAATTCTGAACATCTTTCCTGTTGTTGCAGGTGCACCCCTGTCCACTTTGAACTGTGATCCTTCTGCTAAGAATGATAGGTAATGAGGTTGTTTCTTTGACTTTATTTAGGGTCTATTGGAGTAAACTTCTCTAAAAACACTTCTAAGAAAAAAAATAAAAAATAAAAATGAAATAAACTTTTCTATAAGCTACAATTATCTTATGTATAAATTAATTTATAGAAGTTTACTCCTTTACCTTCTTCAAAATCTTATTTTTAACTTATATAAGTTAGTTTTAGTTTATGAAATTTTTTTATTTTCCTCCGAAACAAGAGGATGAAAGGCAGTTTTACGCCAAATGCTCTTGACCCTTTTGCAGGAATGCGGAACCGATTGAAAAACTGAAGGCTTCTTATAGACTATTTCTCGCACGCTCAATGGCAAGGCCAAAAGCTATAGATGTATGTGGTGTTCCAGTTGAGGCCCTCTTCAAAATTGTTATAACTATAATATGTTCTATTATTGATCTATCTACTATTCTTCCACTGTCTAGGATTCAGTGGAAAAACTGGCACCCACGCGTAGTTTTGGAACTGTTCTCGCCAAGGGAGACAATCGTGATCGTGAGTCCTTTAATTTGTGCATTATCATTTATCTCAAATGTATGAATTTGAATTCTGAACATCTTTCCTGTTGTTGCAGGTGCACCCCTGTCCACTTTGAACTGTGATCCTTCTGCTAAGAATGATAGGTAATGAGGTTGTTTCTTTGACTTTATTTAGGGTCTATTGGAGTAAACTTCTCTAAAAACACTTCTAAGAAAAAAAATAAAAAATAAAAATGAAATAAACTTTTCTATAAGCTACAATTATCTTATGTATAAATTAATTTATAGAAGTTTACTCCTTTACCTTCTTCAAAATCTTATTTTTAACTTATATAAGTTAGTTTTAGTTTATGAAATTTTTTTATTTTCCTCCGAAACAAGAGGATGAAAGGCAGTTTTACGCCAAATGCTCTTGACCCTGCCCACAATTGTCTTTCTATTTATTTTTTTTAGAAATACTTCTTGGAGAAGTTTATCCAAAGAGGCTTAATTGGAGTTGGTGGCTATATGTTGGTTCTTTTTTACTCCTTTACCTTCTTCAAAATCTTATTTTTAACTTATATAAGTTAGTTTTAGTTTATGAAATTTTTTTATTTTCCTCCGAAACAAGAGGATGAAAGGCAGTTTTACGCCAAATGCTCTTGACCCTGCCCACAATTGTCTTTCTATTTATTTTTTTTAGAAATACTTCTTGGAGAAGTTTATCCAAAGAGGCTTAATTGGAGTTGGTGGCTATATGTTGGTTTTACACCTCATTTCCTTTTTTATTTTGGTTCTTTTGTTTCGTAAAATGCTTATTTTTCAATTTGCACACTATACAGTGTTGTCTTGTAGAGAAAATTATATGAAATGCTAACTCCAAACGCATGCAACATTGCTCCATGGGCATTTTGAATATGAAGGGTTTCTCAGTTCCTATGTATATATTTGTTCAGAATTCTTGATGAATGTCCATCATATTGTTCTCTCTTCATGTAGGACTCGAGCAGCTCCACTTTCCATTTATAAAGATTCAGTTGCCACTGGTGATACTGGTCCTCATCAGCCAGACCTGTCGCACTCTTGGCTCACACTCGGAGCTAGAGCTGATAGAAATAAGGAAAACAATGCAATTCCTGGAAAGTGGAAGTCCTATAAGGTGCTAATTTCCACACTCTTTTTTTGTCTGCCTTTTCACGATAAGAAATGCTAGTGACATTCTTTTTAACGCTTTTATTAATACTTTCTTTGAAATTGGTTAAGGTCTTTTGAAAATTATAAATTTTAGTAGATCTTGAAGAGAGAGTCATTAAATGAAATACGAGATCTACACAATTTGTGATTTTTAATAAATTTCAACCAATAATTGTGTTAGAGAGAAAAATATGACTGTTCTTAGTTTTTGGGTTTGTGTTCCACATTCATTTAATGCCCCAAGTTACTGAATGATTTCAGATTCCACAGCGACCTGGGACTAGAACTGGAGGAGCTACTGCAAGTGCTTTTATCCCCGTGTTTGTTGATGAAGAGTGTCAAGAGTAAGTGGAATCACGTTCCATCGTCAGTCTTGCTGTCAGGCTTACATAGAGATATTTCCCGAATTGTTTCTACTCAATTTTGCTCTTTCAAACTTTCGTTTATCTTGAAAATGGGGTGTATGCTTAAATTTTATTCCTCTCAATTTTTAGAGTGCATAAAACTGTAACAAATTAGAGCAACAGATGATGGTTTGTCACATAAACCAATTTAGTGCACAAAACTCAAGAGAGATAGCCACAAGAGAATATGCATAACAATTTAGTGCACAAAACTGTACTATTTTTTTCTCCATGAATGATGCAGCGTTGTCCCAAAGTCAATAACAATTTCTGTTTGTGGAACGTGATTTTTGCTGACTAAAGTTTATTTTAACTCTGACCAGTTATCAAATATACTGATAGTAGTTTTAATAACTTGCAGTTTGTCTATGTTCGATTTCTTTTACAGATCATAACTATTTTACATTACATGTTAACAGTTCACGAAGTTTGAAAGCAGAGGACCGCAAGTCTTCAAGTTTGAAGATTAGGCAAGAGGACGAGAAGGAATTAAAAAGGTAATACCTATTCACGTGCATTTCTGGTACAGGTAATTGAGGAAGGTCCTCATGAATTGACACATCTGTTATTTGATATTTCCAGGGAAACAGAGCTACTAAGGAAGAACCCATTACGCAACTTTCCTCAAAATAGCCTCCCCAGATAATTCAAAGCCATTCCTATTGCTATTGCAGAAGTATGCATTATTTCTTCAACAATTTGTGGCTCCGCTTTCTCCTAGAAAGCTTGGACCCACGTTTAATTGTCGCTTCAAATTTGTACTGAAATTTCCGGTTTGTTTGTTTGATTTGATTGTACGAGTGTGTTTGGACTGAAAATTTAAGAAATTTGTAATGTTGGTTGACAAAATAATTGCTTCAATTCAATTACATTTTCATTTGTAAAACTTAAAATTGTAAAATTGGAAGTTTATTTTTCACTAAAAAAGAAAAATCCTAAAAGTAATAACGAAATAGCATGGTGTCCAACAGACCCAACAATAGTTATTTTTGATACTAATTTAGAACATGAGTTTGTGTTTAATTCAATCTAATAAAACTAAACTATGAGAGAGTAGTTTGGGTTTGTGCTATTTTAGAATGTGAACCTTGTAAATGAGGAGTATTAGGGGAGAGTTTGCTCTGCTGAGCTATTATAGATCTTGAGTTTGATGTCAACTTAACTCTTAACCCTATAAAACATGATCATTGACCATTTTGAAACAGTTTCTAATACTATTTGCTGAAGTTTTGAAACAATTTTTTACATTGGGAGTAGTCAACAAACCAAGAGTCACCTATATCATGCCTTATCACGTCAACTTTTGTCGGTGACCATACCGTCACTTGTTATTTATTTATTATTTATTTTATAGATACCGGAAAAACTAATATATAAATTTAAAATTATTATAATACATAAATATTATTTTGATATGTTAATAGGATTTTATTCTAAAATTTTAAAATAATAAATAAATTTTATAGTGAATAAATAATATTTTAATAAGTTAAGTAAATTTTATTTAAAAATTATAAAATAATAAATAAGTACCTTAATTAATCAATTTTTTTTTTAAAATTTAAATATTAAATAAATCACCACAATAAATATTTATAAGGTTAAAACTTTTTTTTTGGTACTAGTGAAATATTTCGCTGTTTGTTCCTAAAAATTTTTAGCTTAACTTTTGATTTCTAAGTTTTTTCTTATTTTATTTTTTCCTTCCATTACTTTTTCACTATTTTTAGATGACATGTTTGTTAAATAAATATTGTTTCAAGTGAATTTTAGTTTCTTAATGTTTGAGATGTCATGCATAAAGATTTAATTTCTTTATATGAAAGGTTTATTTTAGAGGATAATGTAACACCTTGGTTTTTATAAATTATATTAATAATATTTTAGAAATTATTTCAGTATGTTAATGTATTTATTTTGGGATTTTTGGTACTATTTAAGTATTTATATTAGCATTATTTTATTATAAAGCATGATTTGTAATAATTATTTTGATATTTAATATAATTATTTTAGAGTTTTGATATTATTTAAATAATTATATGAGCATTATTTTATTTATGAGACGTGATTTATAATAATTATTTTGATTAGTGATATATAGGTAACTTTTATGAAATGTATTTTATTAATAATTATGCTTATGTTATTTGATTAAAAAGAAGATGTATGTTTTAATTATAATAATTATTTTATTTGATAAGAAGGGAAGGAGGGACGTGGAGGTCTTTTGATATTTATTATTAATATTTATTTTATTAATTGAAGAAAAAAAAGAGTTATATAGGAGTTAAGAGAAGTTACATTATGCTTCATTCCTCTTGACTTCTTCTTTATTCATTTTCTCCTACGTTCTCTGAAGACCAAGGAGAACAAAGAGAAAGAGACCAACCAGATTCTATCCGTGCTTCATCTTTTACTCATCCAGGTAAGAGGGAGTGAGAAACCTCGCTCGGGGGTGTGAGAATAATTGTTGGGTAGCAGGATTGACCCTCAATCCCTTGCCTGATGCATACTCTAGGAACAGGCAGATTATGAAAGTTTTCTGTCTTAATATTTGAGTTTTCTGTTGGGTTTTTGATTGGATGTGATGCATGAATATGTGTTTGATTTCGAAATTAGATAAGTTTTGATATGAATTTGAGTGATCTGTGGGTTCTTGTGGAAAACCCTATGAGAAATAATTAGAAGTATGATCTTTTGACAAGATTTGAGGTAGTTTACATAAAATTGAGTATAGATTTACGTTCTGGGTGTTATTTGGAGGATTTTTATCGATTGATTTATATGATTACATGTTGGTTGTGAAAAATCGTCTAATTTCAAAGTGTAGGTTCGCACTAAGGGCGCCGAGCGCAGTTCTTTGTGGCGGGTGCAAATTCATAGTTTCCCAGGAAAATTGAGTCGGGCTAAAAAAAATTGAGCTGGGCTTAGGAAAGTTGTGTCGAGCGCGAGAAAGTCACGTCGAGCGCGTGTGAAGCTGCGCCGGGCAGAATTCTCCACTTTAGGCACGACATTAAATTTGCCGGGCACGCTCAAGGCACACCGGGCATGATGCTCCGCTTTAGGTGCGACATTAAATGCGCTAGGCGCGAATTGGGGTGCCCTAGGCGTGACCCATATGATGCTTTTGTTAAGTCAGACGAAACAATTCTCAGTAAGGTTTTGAATGAGACAACTATAGTGCATATTGTTATCTCTAACAAATGTGTTAGTGTTTCAGATAAAAACATAAGTACAGACAAGTTGAAGAATAGAAAATATGCATGTACCACCTTCTACACCAAAACCAAGACAAAATGAGCTAAGCACCAAATGAAGGTTGATCAAAAGAAGGAAATACACCAAACAAAGCTACCCAGAAACTACAAACCTTGTAGTACAGCAAATGCAATGCCTCTTTCCCCACACAGACACAATGAAAAATAAAGAACAGAGCACGAGCAACCAAGATAAAGGATAAAAGCTACAAGACATCAGATGAAGAGATCAAACAAAAACAAGCCCAACATAAGAAGGAAAATAATGAAGCCTCAGATGATACAACACCACAGATGATGGACAATCAAAGTCAAAGTCTATCTCTTAGACGGAGACTCAAATTTTCAGACGAAAACGAAAAATGTTGAATTGCGTCTGAAGTCTACTAAGTCACAATGAGAAGAACTACCTAGCATCCTCACCCTCAGAAAAACACATGAAGTCATCAAAATAGAAGAAGAGAGAAGATAAAAATGGACTAGCGCTTATCCACAAGTCAAAGTTGCATATGTCAAAGCAAGTACACCTACCAGTTAGTAAAAGACAACGCTTCTGCAACTAAAATGCCAGGAAAGTACAAATATGCCTAGGTTATGATCGAAGTCAGACATAGAAGTAAATAAACGGTACAAAAGACTTCACGTAACCCAAAATCATCGAGCAAACATTTAATGCAAGATCAAATACATTAAATACAAGATCTACGAAGCCTAGACAAACTAAACAAGAGAATTTGATGATGGCTGGTCAAGCATCAAGATTAGGTCCGATCAAAAATAGAAGAAAATTCAACAAACACTAGACGAGGCCTACTACAAGTCGAAACATTGAAGTATCATATGAAAAGCCAAAACAGGGCTAAATCTGGAATAAGAGAAAGATGGGTTAAACATCAGATGAAACCAGATGGCCAACTCTGATAAAAGAACAGTCAAGGAAACGCACATCATGAGAATCAGACAAAACAAGCTAACTGAATAGACAAAATATAATGCGTGCGCTAGACAACTATAAGTCTAACATCAGACGAAGGTATGTCAAGGACAACCCCCAGTGCAACATAAGAAAATAGACGAAGCATGAGTAAAAGATCAGAAGAAAGTAAAAAAAAAACAAGACGAAGGAAAAAACAGACTGAAAGATATTTCAGACAAAAACAAAGTCTATCCATTCACATTGTTGACCAGATCAAAAGAAAAGTCAAAACATTAAACTCAGATGCTCAGACGGAGATCAAGATTGAGATGCACAAAACTAACAAACGTAGACGAAGACTTCCACGCAAGCAAGTAAAGAATCAAGTCTCAAAAGACAAATCAAGGCATCGTCTACAATCACTCAAATTCTCTCAACGTAAACGCGTGATCAAAGGAAGAGAAGAAGAAAAAGAAAAGCAAGCAAAAGCAAAAGCATGCATGTGTTATAAAAAGTACATCACTTTTTCAGATAAGGACAACACTCTACAGTTACGTGACCGGAAAAGGACAAAAAGGTTCCTAAGTATCTGCTAAATTCAGACACAGCTGCTAACAAGGCAAAGAAGACTTCACGCAAGGTCTATAAACGGGAAGCAACATTTAATGCAAGATCTTGAGCATTAAAGGAAAAATCAAACTAGTCATGAACGACTATATCTGCTTCAACAGACACTTGCAACGGGAAAATTCTACAAGACAATATATATCACTACTTCAAACCTTGAAAGGTTGGCTTTGCAATTTTAACAAAAGTGATATCAAGCCCATGTAGCAACGAAACCAGAGATGGAGGTTCTAGAGTCAAATGTATCATAGTGTATTCATCTCTGTAGACTAAGGAGTTCCAAGCATGTGCATCTTAGGAACAAAAACCTTAGTGAGTGTACCAACTTATGTATCCTCTTTGTGAGAGTAAATCAAATACTCAATCATTGTAAAAACTAAGGTTGCATACCTTAGTGAGTGTACAATCTTATGTATCCTCTCTATGAGAGTAACCCAAACACTCAAACCAAACCAATTCAGCTATCATATGTAAAGCCTGAAAAGACCAGGGAAAGAATACTTATAAAGCTTGGAGAGACTTGTCAAAGAATACTCACTACGAGCCAGAAGTGGCTGATTAAAGAATACTAGCGCTAGTGAGTGAAGCTGGCGGGCCAGGAGGTGGTTGAGAATACTCATTGAGAGCCAGAAGTGGTTGATCAAAGAATATTAGCGCTAATGGTGAAGTTAGTGGGCCAGGAGTTGGTCGATAATACTCACTAGGAGCCAGAAGTGGCTGAGTAAAGAATACTAGCGTCAGCAAGTGAAGTTGACGAGCCATGAGTGGTTAAGAATACTTGGGACCAGGAGTGGTCGTGACCTAGGTGGTCTATAATACTCACTGCGAGCCTGAAGAGGCTGAACAAATAATACTTGTACTTCATTGAACATGTAGTGGAACCCTTCATTTGAAGGAGACTGGACATAGCTCAGTTTGAGCGAACCAATATAAAATACTTGCACTATTTTAATGTTTCAAATGCACCTTACTTGGTTGATCTAATATACTGAAAACTTTGTCTAATGCTTATCGTCTATTAAAACTATCTTTAGACGAAAACTATAATT